AATCAATAGTAAATAAACACATAGATGATGAACTCTACATATTAGATGTAACTAACAATTCAATAAATTTTATATTTTTATTAAGATTAATTATATTTGTATGTCAATAATGATAGAGATCACCATTATATTGGAATTTTTATAGATAATAATATTGTAGTCTCTTTATTTTCAATAAAAATAATTATTATTGTTCTTATAATTTAAAAAATGTCATTGACATTTCACTTTAAATAATATTTTTATAAATTTTTTATTTAAAATATTTTCTTTATGTTTGTCACACAAAAAAAAAAAAAAAAATCCAAAACCCAGGAGGGCACGTGACCCTCCTTCCCTCCGCCCTTGGTGGTGGTTGGTTGTGTGATTGCATTAATAAAATTTTAGTTTAGAAAATATTTTGTTACCTTTCAAAAGTGAAAATAATTTTTATCTAAGTTTATTTTTCGTTTTTAATTAGGGTCATTGGATGATCTATGTAGAAGTTTTTAAATCAGACTTGGGAACTTGAAATATGAGTTTATGTTGCACATGCAGGGGACATTGTCTCAGGGTTCATTGCACATTGTCTCAAGTAAATAGTAAAAGAAAAATGATATTTGCGTGGACTTGCATAGTTTTCCTTTCTTTTTGATCATCTCTTAACCAAACTAGGGCATTAATTGTGGTGCAGAGGACACATTGCTGTCAGCAGCAACAAATTACATATAGGGATGGTTGTAATGAATAGTATGGGTGTGCTTCCCACACTACTGACAAGGTTGAAATTTTCAACTAAATTTTTTTAATTGTGTTTGAATTATAAATTTAAATAAAAATTTAAAAATAAAATGAAAAAATAAGAGAAATGCTGAGTTTAATTTTTTCTCCATTTCTCTTGCCTTTCCTTTTTTTTCTTTCTAAATTTTTATCCAAATTCATAATGTAAACATTAATTTAAAGTCGCCTCAATTTACGCTGCAGCAATGGGTTTAAGGACCCGAATCAGGATCCTTTCATTTATCTCTTTCCTTAACTTCTCACTTATTGGGCTATTGGGCCTACTTTTGGGCTTAATTTCGATAATCCGAACCGTTTACATTTTAAAATTTGTTGAGTATATCATACTTGTAAATAATCAAATTGATCGGATATCAGAAATTATGTATTTAGAAAATTGTTTACTAAATTTTTTTACAAAATGGTTTGTAGTTTGATAATCCGAACATGTAGCTTCTGATATCCGATCAACTTAATTTTTTATAACTATGATATTCTCGATAAATTTTAAAATATAAACAATTTAAATTATCGAAATTGAGTCTAAAAGTGACCCAGCCTACCAAGCAAAAAATTAAAGAGAGATGCAGAAGAGGATTCTCATTCGTAAGACCTGCACCTTGGTGGATTCCTCGTCAGAAAAAAATAATATGATGGATTAATTGAAAGGAACAGTGGGGGTTGGGAGTGGGTGGGGGGCACATGTCCCTGTCCTAGTTCTCCAAAGCCTTTACACAGCTTCAGGTATGCGTACAAAACTCTGATTACAAATCATTAAATACCATGCTTTGATTGTTACATGGATTAAATATTTTCAAATTTTGAAATTTATTAGATAAGTTTTTACAAGCTGGTGAAAAGGTGATAGTACTGTTTTGCCTTTTTGTTTTATCAATTGGAAGGAAGGAAGTAGTAAAAGGGAATTACATACTGATAAGACTTTAACTCAAATATGAAATATAGTTTTGATAATTGATTCCATCTAAGTTTGTCTTGTTTCCAAAAGAACATACAACAAGATACAAACAATCAACGCAAGGTTGATTGAGTTGGAAAGATGCCATGAAAGAAATTTATTATGATCAAAGATAGTTAGGATCAGTGTTTTAAAAAGTTCTAGGCTCATTGAGGTGCTAAGATCTTTTAGAACTTAAGCATGAGGTGTAAGACGAGGCGCGCGCCTCACCGAAGCGAGTCACAAGTTGTTGAAGATAACCAAAATATTAATATAAGCAAAATTGTTAACATAAAATAAATATTCTTAGAATTTCAAAAAATAATAAATAAATAAATAGAACAACATTCAATATTCCAAAAAACATGAAAAATAACAACATTTCAAAAATTTCTCAAAAATAATATTCTATCTTACTTTATCCTATACTATTTTTTTTAATCAATTTATTAATGTGATTCATTTCTTCTTCTTCTTTTTTTTTAAATAAAGAACTCATACCATAAAATACCTTAGTGGTTTTAATTTTAAATCGGGACCAAATTGACTGATAACTTCAATCATTGGCCCGAAACTGTTGTAATTTACTAGATTAAAAGGAATTCAAAAACCATATATCTATCTTGCAATCCCAAAACTTTTGCTTAATGCCTACAACTTTTTTTGATATGAAAATTGGGGATCAATACACGTGTTTACATTTTATATTAAAGAGGAGTTGTAATTTCATATGGTTACACACACAAAGAATAAGGATGGAGCAAAAATTTAAATGACACACATGAGGCGTATGTTTCGCGCCTAAACCTAAGACGTGTGCCTCAACCGTCTCACATGCGCCTTTTCTACTGCACCTCTCCTCAAGTTGTTAAGGTGTCCTAGGTGCCCTAGGTGCCCCTCAAGCCTAAACACGCGCTTAGGTGTGCCTTTTACAACAGTAGTTGGGATTTTTTTCTACAAGATTAGAAGGCCTGCTTGAGGGAAATTCTATTTCCACACACTTGATTAACTCAGTGCATATTTTTTCTCTAATTTTTTTTTATTACATTTCTATCCTTCAATCAAATTACCAACACACTCCTCCCTCCCTCCCAACTCAACCCTCACATTTGCCATTGCCTACCATCGACAGTCACGTCCCTTCCTTCCAATCATCACCACCTTCATAGATGTATGTATACTCTGCAAAATCTTCATATCATTTTAATTGTCAATGTCAAAATTTCAAACAGGCGTATTGTATAGCCATTAAACTTCCACAAAATATTCGAGGGAAAAATAAAAAATTATTAATTTGCTACAGAGGCTTCAATTAACTTCAATCTTCTTAATTAAAACTGTAAAACTGTCACTTTTAAACAATCATCCTAAAAATTATGCAAAGCAATCATAAAATTTATGGTAAAGAAGAGGGTGAGGCTCATATCTGCTATGATATCAGGCTAATAATGGAGTTAAACTCCACCATGGCTGCAACAATAGTTGCCTAGTGAGAGAGAGAAAACCAGATCTAGTCTCTCTCCCCCTTATTCTCTCTCTCAATGGCCTTCTGGGTTGCCTCGCCATGAAACGGATCCAAATCTCAAGGCCTGATTTGAAAACCCAGAAAAACTGTCATCACAGCCTCTTACAAAGAAGATAGTATAGTTGGTTGATATGGGGTTGATGATGATGATGAAGACGCGACAGAAGGGTTGAATCACTCTAGAGGATCTGGATTCGATGAACCGAACCGAACCCAACCTAACCCAACTCAAAACCAAACAGAGCTATGCATATATATATATATATATATATAAAGATACACAGTATAGAGTACTGAGAACATACAAACTCACACACCTAAAGGGTTGTTGAAATTTAGAGATGAAGATGAAATCCTGGGCTTCTTTTTCTGTATAGTACATATTATAGAGAGGAGCAACCACCCTTAGAAACTTCCCATCTCTTTGCTTGAAGAAACCTCATTTCATCATCTGGGTTTCAATCTCCTAGAGGAAGAAGCAGTGACGGGAGGGCGAGAAGGCTAGGGAGGGGAAGCGGCCGTGGGAAGTTGAGAGAGGCTGAGAAGGGAACAACGCCGGTGGGAGGCGGTGGTTGCTGACAATGGTTAGTGTTAAGATTTGTTGGAGAAGACGAGGATAATTTAGTATTATCTAAAAATTATTGATGTGTATTGAGATAATATTAAAAGTTTTAATTTGTGTATGGTGTAAATTGAACAAATAATATATATTAAGATAAGTAAGCATATGTAAATAGAATTACCCTGCTTGACCATCTTACCACCAATGTTGCCACACTTTACCTGAATAGTCCCCTCGACTTTACAATGTCCCTTTTTTTTTTTTTTTTTTGGTCTCAAAGAAATTTGGCAGACTTTAAATTGACCCTTTCAAAACAGTCCTCCACGACCTTAAACTAGCCATTTTGTTTTGAAAAAAAAAAAAAAAAATCAATCGCAAAAGACAACATCTTTTTATTTTTAATTATTTTAAAAATTCTATATAAAAATTATGTTTGTGTAACATAACTTTTATTAGAAGTAAAATATCAATGCGGAATCATAAAAAAGTACAAACTCTAAACCTTATATCCAACCCTCAAATAAAATAGAAGAAAAAGAAAAAAAAAAAAGTCCAAACAAGAGGACGTAATATATAACCATAGATAGAATTTCACCAATGTTAGGTATCATGAAAAGTCTTTTATAAAAACGATTATGAAATATTTGTGACATTTGGATTATACTTGAAATAAAACACTACACATTAATTAAAGTAATCTAGAGGTTATAAATCTTTCATGATAATTTTCATGAAAAAAGTTTTATGATCCCTAACATATCTCATAGAATTTTTGTTGGATGAGGATTAAGAAAACAATTATTAATTTCTGCACAAAAAACTAAATCCAAAACATATATCAGCACTTAATGTGTAGGATTTCCCCTACACAGTGGATGATCTAGTCTTCAAGTGGAAACAGATCAGGGGCACGGTTTGATCATCCAGCTGGTTTTTGGTTTGTTTCTTCTTTTCTTTGGTTGGTTCCTTATCAACCATGGGGAGCTCGCATCTTTTGCTTAAGTTTCTGTGTTCTCTTGCTACTTGCAGCTCCTCTTCTTTATTGAATGTATCTTTTCTCTTCATCATCTTCAATCAATAAATAGCAGCTCCTCTTTTTTATTGAATGTATCTTTTCTCTTCATCATCTTCAATCAATAAAGTTTTCTTTGCCAATAAAAAAAAAAAAATTAATGCATAAAAAAGAAAACAAATGAAAATTGAATAAAACATCAGTCTCCAAATTTTTATTTACTAAACCAATCACTGGATCTCAGAATAGTGGACACTCTTACAATAGTTACTGCCAATAACAAATAAATAAATCACAGAACACAACACAGACACTCTCATACTTATAGGTCCCATTTGCTGTGGAAGTTGCAGCCATATAAGTATCTATATCTCATTATGTGATTTGTTTGTGTTGTTGTTAGTACCACTGCTGATTAATGAGGACTGTGCTAGAACATTACCTGAACTTAGAAAACATAAACAAAATGCATCACAAAAAATCAAAAGAAAAGAAAAATAGAAATAAAAGGAAACAAAGAAATGAAAACCAGGAAGATCACCATCACCTTCTAGTCAAGTCTGATAAAGCTCAGACTTTCATCATTGATCCACCCATACTTCTCCATGAAAGGGTTGACCAGTTGGGGTTTTGGTGGGTAACTCTCTATGCAGTCTTTCCAAACACCCTTCTCGTCCAAATCCCTCATCACTTCCCACACACAGTTATTGCACTTAAACCCAGCTCCAAAACTGATCATCAAAACCCTATCACCCTTCTTCAGCCTCTTCTTAGCCTCCATGTAACCCAAAACATACCATAGCCCGCCGGCCGACGTGTTCCCAAACCGATGAAGTGCCATTCGAGCCGGTTCAAGGTCATCCTCACTGAGCCCTAGACTCTTCCCAACCCCATCTATCACCGCCTTCCCACCCGGGTGTATACAGAAGTGCTCGACACCGGTCTTGAGGTTCAAACCCAACCCTGCTGCTCCAGCTCCCCTAACTTTGTTCTGACCGTCACAGCGGTTAGATAATTTATTAATGGTGTAGCGAAGGAGTTCCCAAAGTGGTAGTACTTTAGGTAATAGCACCCTTAGGTTCATGGTGAAAACTTTAGCTGCCGCTTTGGTTAGGCCTTTACTGAGCCGAAACCCAAGGTACCCGAGATCGTCTTCCATTTGTATGCAACACTCGTATGCCTCATTGTCTGCACCAAGATGCGTACGCACCATACAATTCATTTTCAAAATAGCTCGGTATGTCAAAGATCTGTTGTTCGTCAAGAGCATCGAACAACCGCCCGAGCGGAACAAACAGTTGGAGAGCATCATTGATCTTTCCCTCCCGCAGTACCAGTTTGGACCCATCGACTCTGTGCTCACGACAACGGCGAACGCGTTGTCATGACACTTGAACAAGTTTTTTACGAGATCAATGGCGACGAGGCTGGCGCTGCAACCCATGCCGGAAAGGTTGAATGCCTTGACATTTTCCTTCATTTTGTACCGGTTTACAATGCGAGCTGTCAATGATGGCACAACAGCCAGCAATGACACGTTCACGACGAGAATGTCGATGTTGGACGGAGAAATCTCTGTCCGAGCGAACAGCTCGTCGAGCGTGTTGTAAATGGTGTCGTCCATCTCGGAGAGCGCATCGGGAAAGGTAGGGCACTGTTCTCCCCCCGAGACGACGTTTCTTGGGGCGTAAGTTTCTTCGCCTATGCCGGAGCTGACAATGGTCTGTAAGAGGAACTTGTATTCTTCTAAGCCTAGGTTCTTGTTTCGGAGGATGATGTTGGCGCATAGTTCAGTGTTTAGCTTCCTGTCTTCTGTGGCTTTGTAGCACTGGTAATCTATCATGTAGCAGCATTGGTCTCTCCATTGGAGGACCATCTTGCAAAGTTGGAAGATGATGTAGGTGAGAGGAAGCAGATAGATTGCCAAGAAGAACTCCATAGAGAGAGAGAGAGAGAGAGAGAGAGAGAAAGAGAGAAGTCTGTGGCGTATGAGCTACACACAATGTATTTGGCTTACACATATCATTTTCTAGTTCTGTAGCATTGTTTTGACAAACAATATTTTTTGTACAAAAATTAGTAATTGTAAATAGGTGTAGGTAAGAAAAACCGGTGAAATAACATACATGAAAAGGGAAAAAGCTATCAAGTCATGAAAAAACAGTTAAAATGGCCAAAAAAAAATGACGTGTGACGTAGATTTAAATTTGATCAATGCAGTTGAGCGACATATAGAATGAATTTGGTTGAAACTATACAAGAGTTAAATCTGTGCAAAACAGTATTCTTAGGGTAGAAATTTCAGGTATCAATTTTGGGTAGCTAGAATTATAGTACATAAAATCAAGAAGAAGAACGTGGTTAGAAATTATGAGCCATAATAGTGGTGATTTGAAACGAATGAATCACAAAAATAGTCATATTCTGTACGAATAAAAAGTACGTACAAAAAAATTCTATATTTAGCATTATTATAAGCAGTGGTGCTGAAATTGTGATTTTCCTGAGAAAAAAATCCTTTATATCTTGTGGTAGTTCTTCCATTTGAAATTTACATAAAATTTTGAATAAAATTAGAGACGTCATTTTTTATATTGTGAGTAAGTGATAAAAAATATGATAAAAATAATGGGACAGTAAAAGGACTGTAAAACTTCAAAATTACACAAACCATTAAATTCGGGTATATTTATTAGGTTAATTCTGCTCAGTACCAATTGGTCTCTGTTTTCCAGTCTGTGGCTTTAAATCCAAGATTTTGACTCTCTCTCTCATCTACCTCTCTATCTCTGGCTATTGATCCAACACAAAGGCCTGCCTCATTGCTTCACTTCCCAATAATGCTGATTTGAGATGCATCATACCTCTCACATTGCAATAATTCTATCAGCAAAAATACTTTAGACCACTAATTAGTAGTGGCTCTAATGATAGTGGCATCCACTGTCACATGTGTTTTGTGCCTTGTTTTTTTTTTTTTTTCAATTGCCACTTCACTAGTGGTGGAGTTAGTGATGATAGATTAGTGGTCTATAGCATTGCTCTTCAATCAGAAAGTCTTACCAATCTAGAAAAACTGTCCAGAAAGTAAAATCAGAAATTTGACATATGGCTTAGATCAAAAAATTATACAGTGGGTCTCATGCATAAAATGAATCTCATACATCTATTGCTTTTTTTTGGATATTTTTTGGGGTAAATATTCTGAGCAGTAATACTAGGGATCATGAAAAATATATCATGAATATTATCATGAAAGATTCTCAACCTTTGGATTACCTATACAATAAAACACCACACACACTGCTGGAAAAATGACTTTTAGCGGCGTTTTAAAAACGCCGCTATATGTATGAAAAACGCCGCTAATTCCTTTAGTGACGCTTATAAGAGAAATCGAGCCGGTGCAAACGGTGGTGGAGGTGGAGCTTCGAAACCGAAATCGCTTTGAATCTCAAAGACGAATCTGTGAGAATGATAAGGGTTTAGAGATGAATCGAGAGAGAGAACTTCGATTAGGGCTACAGCGAGAGGTGAATCGATACGTTCAGACGGTTTAGAGAGAGAGAGAGAGAGAGTGAGATTTTAGGGCTACAAAATAAGTATTATATTTTATATTCACCGCTCGCCCATTTTTAAGAGAGAGAGAGACAGGACATTCGAAGACGTTTTCAAACGCCTCTGGTAATGAAACGGTGCAGTTTTGATTTTAAAAAAGCGACGTTTAAAAAACGTCGTTAAATATTGTGTCGCCAAAACTCATTTTTCTTGTAGTGACATTAATCAAGACTAATCAAGGAATAAAAAATTTTCATGATATATTTCATGATATATTTTTCATGATCCCTAACATTACTCATATTCTGAGTACCTATCATAGTTTCACTTTAATGTTAATTGGCATGCTTGCTTATTTAAAGGGGAAAAAATATAAAGAGTTAGGAAGTCAGAAAAAGTAATTTGAATAGCGATGGAAAGTAAGATTAAAGGATTGATTTGGTAGATAAGGCGTTTCATTTGCTCAACATGATATTTGGGTTTAAAACTTACACTTGTAAGTGCAGCTTTTCTTTACCTATTCTTGTTTTATCGATTGTATAGTGTCTAGAAAATAAAAGGCATGCTATAAATTCAAACTTAATTTTATGTGAGCCAAAGAGCCACATGAATTTTGTTCATATACACTTCATTTCCTGTCAAATTATGAACAAATTGCAAGGGATTAAGTACTTCAAAGTCATACTTCACAGGGTTTTAGTCTCATTTGATTTTGTTCCTTAAATTTTTAGGTGCTTTGAAGTCTTCCAGGAATTAATTGTCTAGCCATCAAGGTAGTGCTTATTTGGTATTGTTTTCATTTTTTTGTACCCTTTTTTTTTTTTAATATATTTTGGAAATGAAAGGAACGCAAAGTTAGAAAATGCACTTCAAATTTTTTGGTAACATTTGGTAGAGTTTTAAAATTATAATTTGTGTGGAGTTGTATCTTCAGTTTGTGGGTGTTTGAATTATGATTTGAAAAAAGAAAATTTGTTTGTTTATGAGTTTTGAAAAGAGTTTTAGATTGAGTTTTAAATTGAGTGTTGAATTTTTAATGTGACATATGAAATAAGAAAAGTTGTTTGATTATAGGTGTTGAAAAAAGTTTTCAAAACTTAATTAATAAAGTTATAACTTATAACCAAACACATAACTCAAAATTTTATCGAAAATTCCGTTTAAAACTCATAACCAAACTCCTTTTAAAATTCAATTAAAAAAAATTAATTATTGAAAAAAATAACATAATTTTTTTTAATTGAAAATATTACAAACATAGGCTTCACGTGAAGGGGTGAAATTATGATTAGAACACTATACCAAATACAATAATTTTTTATTTTTATTTATTTATTTATTTTTTACATAAAATAATTTTTGAAAAGAATCATTTTTAGCATTTCTGGACTGATGACTATGGGTTTTCAATAAACATTGTTACTTAATAGAATGGACAAATAGATAATGGTTACATGATTCTATATTGGAGAAAAATTGATCATCTTGATAATTAAAAATACACCATATTAGCTAGCAAACACTATAATATATAAGAGTTTTAAAAATTAAATTTTTTGATCTTTAAAAGTGAAAATTTTGTTATAAAAGATATTTAAGAACTAATTTCTATCTTCGTCAGGATAGTCACTAAAATGTCGTCCTAAAAAGTCAAAAATAAGACTTTTAGCGACAAAATTTTGAAAATGTCATAAATAAATACACTTTTAGGGACAAAATAATTTGGTCTCAAAATGATTTATTTTTGGAGACAAAAAATTTGGTCCAAAAAAGATAATAATTCATCACTAATATCTAATTTTATTTCCTAAAAATATAATAACGACACTTTTCGCAAAAAAAATATTTGAACACTAAAAATAATTTTATCTCTAAAACTTTAATCTTTTGTAGTGAGAGAGTTAGAACATCTCAAACTTAAAGAAATGTTAGAGATTAAAAATTTTATCAAATGTCTTATATAAGTGTGGAATCCACACAATATGGATTTCATGTAGGTTCCATATCTATGTGAGATATTTGATAGAATTCTTAAAATTTTTAGTATTTTTGATTTAAGAATTTTGTTGATGTGTATCCTTAAGGAACATATTCCTAAACTTAATATTTTTTTATACATATTTTGCATAGAAAATTGCAATAAAAAATATATAATATTTTCAAACTTTGCCAGGCAATTTATGAAATTAATGCACTGAATGTTGCATTAATTATTTTCATTAGGAGTAGTTGTTGATTATTGGGAATAACTTGCCATGAAAACACTACAAGAAAAGTGGGTTTAAAAGACAGAACTTTTTGTGATGGCACATTTTTCTTCGTAAAAAAAGATTTTTTGAGACGGCACAACTTGCCGTTGCAAAAAATGTGACCTTTTGAGATGACACAACTTACTGTCGCAAAAAATGTGACTTTTTTAGACAGCACAGCTTGCCGTCGCAAAAAATGTGATCTTTTGAGACGGCACAACTTGCCGTCTCAAAAAATACAATATTTGCAACGGCAGAAATTGTTGTTGCAAAAAAATAGAGTTTTGTGACGGTACCAGCTGCAGTCGCAAAAAAAGAAGAAAAGTTTTTTGCGACCGTAATAGGTACCGTTGCACACAAGAAAAAAGTAAAAAAAAAAATATATATATATATATATACATATATATATTGTGGCTTTGAGACGACTTCATATATATATAGTCACAAAATGGTTTAAATAAATGCAACGGTATTTTTCTATCACAAAAAAAAAAAAAAACGACGTCGTCTTACTCTTTTGAACATTTCTCTTTTTACCCATTTTTTCATCTTCCTATCTCTTTGTCTGTGTCTCTGTCTCTCTTCTCTCACTCTCTCTCTCTCACTCATCACTCTTCTCTATCTGTCTATCTCTCTCTTTCTCTCTGTGTCTCTGTCTCTCTTCTTTTTCTCTCTCTCACTCATCACTCTTCTCTATCTATTTGTCTCTCTCTCTCTCTCTCTCTCTCTTTCTCTCTGTGTCTCTTGTCCATCTCTCTTCTCTTTGTCTCTCTCGTTCATCTCTCTCTGTCTCTCTCTCGTTTATCTCTTTTTGCTCTTTTTTTTTTTCTCTCTCTCTTTGTTTATATCTTTTCACCTATTTTTTCATCTTCCTCTCTCTCTTCTCTTTCTCTCTCTCATTCTCACTCATCACTCTTCTCTCTCTGTCTATCTGTCTCTCTCTCTCTCTCTGTGTCTCTCACTCATCTATCTCTTCTCTCATCTATTTTCTCTCTCTGTCTCTTTCGCTCATCTCTCTTCTCTTATCTCTTTCTGTCTCTCTCACTCATCTCTCTTCTCTCTATCTCTTTCTCTGTCTCTCTCATTCACCTCTCTTCTCTCTACGTCTCTCTTGCTCATACCTCTTCTCTCTATCTCTCTCTCTTGTTCATCTCTCTTCTCTCTTTGTATCTTTTTCTGTCTCTCACTCTCTATCTCTTTATCTTTTTGTCTCTTTCTCCCTCTCTCTCTCTCCCCCACTGTGTTCGCGTTGCTCACTCTCTCCCTTCCGTCTTCTCTATTTACTGAGCTCCCTCTTTATTTATCTATCCACTACAAGAAAATGCCATTTTAGTGACCACTTTGTCTCTCTTTCGCTCATC